AGTGAGATTTATAAATGAAGATTTATAAAACAAAACCATTATTCCTAAAAACAAGCATGAAGAAAAGATTATGGAAAGCAAGATTTGTCAGGAGACTGAGAGGCAGGTGGGCATGGATGAGGACACAACCAGGGCGAATAACGGGAAGTGGGATGGAAAGGAGCTGCGGAGTGCATGCTTCTTTTCTTTTCTTTTCTTTTCTTTTCTTTCTTTTTTTTTTTTTTTGTTTGTTTGTTTGTTTATTTTGGTTTGAACACAAGTTCGAGGTAGGAAGTACCGGATATATCTATAGGAACAAGTAAAAGGTAGTATGAGCTAATAGCATTTACACTACTAAAGGACTTGGGTTTTTTAGAGAAAGCAAACGTGATTGTTTAAAAATGTCTACAAAGATTATGAATATCCTGAGCATATCTTGACCCTATAGATTGGAGAAAGAGAAAGAGAAAGAACAGTTCTGTTTTGACAATGTTCAGAAGAAGTCGTTCAATCATGAAAAATCAACTTTTAGATTAAAAAAGGCAAAATGAATGTTCACACCCACTCCTTGAGGCAATGACTTTCTACTTTCTCAAATGTCAGAATTCTTCACGGCCTTCCTTACTATTGGCAGACACTTTCTCAAGGATCTTCTTTCTCTGAGAAACAAACGGGCACAGTCACAAAAGAACTTCCTCCTGTTCTGGGTGGAGTAAGATGGTGAAGGAAGAGAAAGGAAAAGACACACAGGACTTTTCTGGTGACAGGCATTGTTTCCCAGTGAGCACAGCAAAGCCAGGGTGAAGGAAGTTTGGAAGATTAATTAGATGTGTACCTTCTTTAGTTCAGGGTCTACAGTTGTCTCCCCAACGATAGCAGAGGGATGTAAACCATGAAAGGACTTCTTTTGATATTATCTGGGAGGAAGGAGAACAATGGGTTCTAATATATCTTGACATCTTAGGTCATTATAGAAGAGAAACAAGCAGTATTTTGTTTGTGTCGCCAGGGAGGCACAGTGAGGTCCTTGCCAGGATGTGTGGACCTTTATTAAAATCCTCGACTCTGCATGAGTCTTGAGGGTACCAACTGGATAAAAAACTAGGCAATAGCTTTGGGAGAGTGGAGGAAAGGTTTGCTTTTTGGGATAACAGTGGAAGTTGTCTTTAAAAATAATATTAGTCATGAAAGTCACCAAGCCTACAAAATATCAAAATCATTTAAAATCAGTTTATGATTAAAATGAGACATTTGTGGTACAAACAGATAACTGCATCACTGAAACAGAACGGGAAGATTAAAATTTTGCATGTTATAAAAGAAACAGAATAAAACAATGTGAAAAATATTTGATATGCTATATTTAATTTGGCTTGACAAAAATCTTAAAGTGTAGAAAATAAACAATGATACAAAAAATAGATCAAAGGGGCTGGGGAGATAGCTCGGCAGTTTAACCACCTGCCTGGCAAACATGAGGAAGCGGGCTCAATCGCCAGCACTGCGTGCCATGCCAGCCCCTGAACCCCAGGCTTGCTGTGCCGGCCCAAAACTGGGTGTGGCGGTGCACACCTGTAATCCCAGTACTGGGGAGACTGAGACAGATGACCATATGAATCCAAGCTTCATAGCAAGACCCTGTGACAAATTAAAAAAAAAAAAACTTTTTTAAAAATTTGATCAAAATAACACATTCTTATAAGCAGAATTAAATATATTAAGATATATACATAATCTCAAACTATGTAATGTATGTGAAAAAGACTAACTTTTAGCATTGTAAGCAACACCAATGAAATAATAAAGATGAAAAATTGGTTTGTTATATACAAGTTTTAAACTTCCATAAGTCAGCTAAGAATCATGTGATTAAAAAAGAGGTATTTTGACAAAATTTTTTAAAACAAAATTTATAATTTTGTATGTTTGTTTATATCTTGTCCCCTTAATTATATATTAATTTTAATTAAAAGCCTAATTCATAAGTTAACAATCTGGAAAAAAATTATTCAATATGTTGAGTTTTAAACAAAAGGTAGCATAATGTCACCCTGTCCTTATCAAAGAAATGATAACATGAAACACCTGTATTTATTTCAATTATTAAATTACCCATGTACCAGATGATAGGATACCTCTGCCTTACTAGTATCCTTCCTAGATTCAATCATTCTTTTATGAAATAGTTTGATAATATACTCTAAACAATAAGATTTGCATCCTGTGTTAGCCAGTTAGTCCATTTCTGGAGTTTTATTCTGAAGACAATGTTCAAATAATAAAAGTTCCTATCAGAAGCTATTTTTCACTTATGATTCATAATAATAAAACCAACAATAAAGTTTAAGAAGAATTGGTAGCAGAGCAAAAAAGACATGGTGAAACAAAGTGAAAAATGTATGCTGTGTTCTGTGACTATAAGGATTTCCATGCACACCGATATCTAGCAAATAGAGATCTTATTTGTTAAATAGGCTTGATGAAATTATGCATGATTGTCTTGTTTCTGAATTTTCTAAAATAATGTTAAATGGTTTTGATAATGCAGTCTATTTTCCTCAGAGACATTGTTCTCCATGGGTTGGAAACATTAACTTTCCTCTCTGAATAGTGCCCCTCAGATTTCTTCAATGTTGTAGACAACTTTATCAGACATTGAAGATAAATGGCGTGTCTACTGGGACACTGATTATGAAATAATTTCAAAAGCCCTGTGCCTCCAACTGTATCCACACATCTTTCAAGGTTATTTGACCTGTAATAAAGAGTAAAACCTCTTCTTATTCATAAGAAATTCTAAAATAGACACCTTTGAAAATTTACTTCCTAGTGAAACTTAATGACCAGCAAGAATGACAACAGTTCACTGTTGTACATGCATTATTTCAAAATGTCTTCCAGTGACTGACATTGCAAAGGATGTGTCATGTTTATTTCATGATGGAGAGTCCCAAAATAATACTTTTCAACATTATATTCTTTTTATCAGAAATCAAAGGTTATATGAGTGAGGGAATGCTTTTTCATAGTGAAAATTTTCACATTCACCATGCAGCTACATAAACCATAAGGATTCTCACTGAAGTGTCCTCCAGCTGGTTTTATGCAGATGGAAGAATGTAAATGCTTTGTCACAGATCTGTAAATACACACCATGGGTTCATGACAGAGTGATGGAAATCAATCCGAGTGTGCTCCTCAAGCAAGAGGTAGAGAAGGCAGCCATGTAAAAGTCGTGCAGAACCACATTCTTACAGGAGACAGTTCAGGGAGTACTTAGCAAGAACCTCCTATTTGCATGGAAGCTGCAGTGTTTCCTTTCTTGGTTTGGATAAAGTTTAGTATCAGTCTTTTGCTCAGTCTTTGTAGATTTACTGTAGTGCCAGAGTGGGTGTAAACTTTAGAGAAGGTGTATGGGCTCTGCAGGATTATTCATTTTCTTAGTAGAAAATAGAGCTTAGAGCAATCCAGGTATAAAGGCGCACTGAAGAACCCAAAAGCATCATCAGTAATTTCTTTACAGGGTTATGTCCTCCACTGAAAGCGCTCCTCCAGCGCAGCAAGCCTGGACTCACTAACAGAACAGCGTTTAGAGAATGGTTATCCAGTTCTGTGTCTCCTCCCTGCTCAGTTCTGCTTCCCACAGCCTCCAAGTCTGGGAGATCAGCAAAGAGCTCCGATTATCAAGTACTTAGTACAGAGAAGCAAGCCAGAGGGATCGAGAAAAAATAGTTTATGTTTGCTTATCAGTTAGGCTGCATGTGTGTATATGTCTGTTTATCCTAACTCTGTCAAATTCTTTCTGGAAATAGCATCATGTTGAAGACATTTAGGAATAAGTATGCTAAAATGGCACTTGATCTTTTCTGCCACTCTGCCATGGAAAGTTCGGCCATTTAGCTGTGCTATTAAGTCTTGAGAGTTAGGTTGCAGTCACAATAACTAATTAAGGCATGGCAGTTTCCCAGTGGAATCAGAATTCTATGGCACCTCTTCATATTAGCTGATAAGGGTTTATTCAAATCGTAGAATATTTACTTCAAGAAGGCATGAATGAGGGGGCCAGGGAGATGGCTCAGTAGAATAAGCACTTGCCTGGCAAGTGCACGGGCCTGAGTTCAATCCCTGGTTCTGCCACATAAAAAAAGAAGAAGAAGACATGAATGAAATTCAGCTCAGAGAAAGGTCTCTTCCAACCCTGGAGAGGTGACTTGAGATCACTGTGAGACAACCATCCACACACAGACATGGCAAAACTCAAGAAATGAGGTTTAAAGTACTAGCAGTTAATACAATAAAATACAAAAAAATTTTTAAATAAGATTTAGATAATTAAGCTCTTGATCATTCACACCCTTTTTTTCCCATTTCTGTAATGGCTGCAGCATCCCCCAAGTTACTGGAGTTCCATACGGAGTACCCAGGGCAGTAGCCTTACCTCTTCTTCTAGTCTTTCACTTCTTTTTCCCCCTACCTAGTCACTGCTTAAGCATTCAGTTACTTAGGACTCAGATGTATGACTTCATGATCATAAGCCCCTTCCAACCCTTCAAGAATGCTACTGTGTCACCTCACTTTTGCTTCCCCCATGATGCTGTCATCTTCCTGGACCATATTCTCTGATACACTCAATAAAGCCTCTGCTAACTCCGTGTCTCATGACGTCCAGAGCCCACAATGATGATAGTGCAACCAGAAACCTCCATGTCTTTTCCATTTGTATTGTTTTTATTTTGCTTAAACAGGAGTGCTGCCCAGTTTCTGTGCTGCTCAAACTTGAATTGTTCTTCAGCCTCTTCTCTGTGCCTCTTCAGTGTCGTACTTCCAAAAACCTTTCGCTCAGCCAGCAATTCCAAACACTATGACCCACAGTATCTCATTTCAACGTGCTAGCCCGTTCGTACATATGGTTTTGTAGACAAAAGGATGACCTCTCTCAAAGCATCTAAGCCAGTAGTGAAGACCCAACAGCCACCCAAGTACTTGCTAAATGCCTGATGCTCTCTCCTTTTCCTTTGCAGCAGCACCACCCCCCTACAGTCACAACCAAGAGATGCAGTACTGCGCAGACCTGCCTCCCCCGTACTCCCCGACTCCACAGCGCTCCCCACCCCCTCCTTACCCTGGAAATGCACGGAAATAACCCTTCTCCCAGAGCAGAATAAGTGCCAATCAATGATCCTTCCCAGGATAAAACGCTTCTAGAAATGTGGAAGCAGGCAGGAAAGAACTGTTGTAAGGAATACTTTGGGGGGCAGATAACAGTCCAAGTGTGCTATTCCCTTGAAAGGATGCAGGATGGCGACCCTGCTCAGAGCTAACCCCAAGTGGAATATTATGGAACTGCAGTGGAAAATGTCTCCTGATCCATGGAAGCACGTTCAGAAAAAGTCATGAGATGGATGGATGGAAGGCTGGTAGTCACAATGAGCGCTGGGTGAAGGAAGTTTCAGTGTTTATCCTAGAAGAGAGAAGACTGAAGCCAAATTGGGAGGGAGAATCATGGCCTGGTCTGTAAAGAAACAGATTTATTCTATGAAGTTTTAAAAGGCAGTAATTTTTCATTCATTCATCAATAAAAGTAAATTGAGTGCCTGAGAGCCTACTATGTGCCTGGCACTGTTTGAGGCACTGAATGGAAACTGCCAGAAGCGAACTTTGGTTTTTATACAGGCATACCTCGTTTTAACATACTTTATTTAGCGTGTGCTCTGCGGGTACTCTGTGTCTTACAAACTCAAGGTTCGCGGCAACCCTGCATTGAACAGTGCCATTTTTCCATCAGCCTGTGCTGGGCTCATCTCTCTATTTCAGGATTTTATTTCTTACGATATTTTGAACTTTTTCATTAGTAGTCTACTCATTAGGGTGATCTTTGATCAGTGACCTTTGATGTTACCATTGTTGTTTTGGGGCCCCATGAGCCATATCCATATGACACAAGGACCTTAATAGAGTGATGATTATTGTGAAAAGAGTATGTATGATGCTCAGGTGAGCTCAGTGGTAGGCCTTTGGCACCAAACAGCCAAATTGTCTATACAAAGAAAAGTTCATTCATGGAGGAAATAGATGGTACTCCCTGAACATCTGAACAGTACAAAAGAAAAATAGCTTTCCTGGTGATATGGAGAAACTTCTAGTGGTCTGGAGGGAAGCTCAAACCAGCCGCATATTCTTAAACCAAAGCCTTACCCCAAGGAAAGTTCTGCCTTTCTTCAGTTCAGTGATAGCTGAAAAAGCAGCAGAAGCTACAAAAGAAAAAGTGGGGAACTAACACGTTGGTTTGCAGAGTTTAAGGGGAAAAAAGCCATTTTCATAGCATGAAAGTGTAAGAGAAGCAGCAAGTGCTGATGCAGAGAAGTTGCAGCAAGTTCGACAGAAGATCATATGGTGGAGCTGAAACTGCTCCATGCTGGAGGAAAATGCTGGGCAAGATTTCCACAGGGAGTCAGGTCTTGTTCAAAGCATCAAAGGAAAAGCTGAGTCTCTAATTAGGGCTATTGCAGGTGGTGACTAAGTTGAAGTCAGCTGCCATTTATTATGCCTCAAATTCTGAAGTCCTTAAGAGTTATACTAATTGCACTTTCTGTGACCTAGCAATGGAACGAGAAAGCCTGTTTACAACATGGTTTATTGAGTAATTTAAACCCACTATTGAAACTGACCACTCAGGAAAAATCGTGCCTATCAAAACTTACTGCTCATTAACAATGCACATCGTTATGCAAGAGCTTTGCTGGAGACATACGACAAAAATCAAGTTGTTTTCAAACCATATCTGCTAATACAAAACTCCTTTCTCTATTTCATATTTCCTAGATCAAGGGGCAATTTGTACTTTAAAGGCTTATTAAATGAATAAATATCATGAGGCTGTGATGCATCTGATGAAGCAAGGCAAAGCACACTGCAAACCTTCTGGAAAGGATTCGCCATGCTAGGTGACATCAAGATGACTCATGCTTCATGGAAGGACATCAAAATATCACCATTGCTAAGTTTGAAAGAAGTGAATTCCAGCCCTCCTGGGTTATTTTGACAGTTTAAGATTTCAGTAGAGAAAGTTACTCCAGGTCTGGAGTAAGTAGAGGAGAACTAGAAGTGGAGCCTGAAGATGTCATAGGCCAGGAGTTGCTTGTCACAGACAGGCAAAATGGTTTCTTGTAGTGGAATGTACTTTGTTTTGTTTTTTGTTGTTGTTGTTGTTTTGTTTTGGGGTTTTTTGTTTTGTTTTGCTTTGAGTTTTTTTTGGGGGAAGGATCTACAGGATGTTCAGGGTCTCACTACTAGCTCAGACTCATAGTGATCTGCCTGTTTACAGCCTCCCAAGAGCTGGGATTGCAGGCATGCACCACCACGCCTAGTCTCTGGAATCTACTTTGGGTAAAGATGATGTGAATGTTGAAATAACAGCAAAGGTTTTAGAATATTACAAAAATGGAGTTGCTGAGATGTGCTAAACTCTACAGCAGAGTTTGAGAAAACTTACTCCAATTTTTGCAGACTTTCTCCACTGTGGGTAAAATACTTTCAAACAGCATTATATGCTGCAGAGAACTATTTCATGAAAGGAAGCTCATCCGTGCAGCAAATTCATTGTTGTCTTATTTTAAGAAATTGCCACCACTTCCACAATTCTCAACAGCAGCCAGCCTGATCAATCAGCACCCATCAACAACAAATTCTTCCACCAGCAAAAGGATTACAGCCCATGAAAGACCCAGATGGTTAACACATTTTAGCAATAAAACATTTTTAAATAACATATATATATATATATATATATATGATTTTTTACACATAACCCTATTGTACACTTAATAGTATAGCATAAATATAACTTTAATATGCACTGGGAAACCAAAACAATTGTATGATTCACTTTATTGTAATGATTACTTTACTGTGGTGGTCTGTAGCTGAACTCTTAATACCTGCAAGGTATGCCTGTACAGAAAAAACCGGTTGGAGCTTTCTTATTGACTAGATTGCTTTGAGAAGCTCCCTGTGACTGAGACTTCAAACAGAAGCTTGGAGCCTCATGAAGAAGTGCTGTAGAAGAGCTATATAAATTAAATGGCAGGTGGGTCCATAGGGTCCCAGAAATTCTGTTCAACTTTTTAGACAGGTGCACATTTCTATGTCACTGGAAGTAAAAACAGCAGCTGAATATTGTTTATTTAAGAGTTAATTTAGGATCAAAGGGACTTAACAGTTCTAGATGCCAAGAGCCCTTCACTGCAAACTGCTGCTGTGTACAAAGCAGCTGGTGTTAACCAGTGGATCATGACGAAGGCTAGTCCAGCCGTGTGGGGAGATTGAAAGAAGTTCTACAGGCTACAAATATTTCTCCTCCACAATGAGATAAGAGCCCAATCTTCAATGGAATTTATATCAGATAGTAAAAAGCTCAAAACTTGATCATGAAAATGTTCAACCGATTTACAAAAAGAAAAGGGAAAAATAAAACTGGATTCCATGCACATATAACTAAGCCAAATTTTTATTCTGGTTTTGTAAAATTTTGATAATCCATTTTCTTAAACAAGTCTTACAGTTGATGGAAAAAACTAAGATTTTTGTCATCTTGCCTTTCACCAAATGCAAATCTTGTGAAGTACCTACCTTTAGATGTAAAAGCTTTTAATAAATAATTCAAGTGTACCATATTTTGCTGAAAGGAATCTTAACATATTTTCGTACATTTAAAAACTATATACTGAACATTGAATATAGATGACCATGCTTTTTTATCGCTTTACTATTAAATCTAAAATGTTTAATCTAATATCATAATTTAATGAAATCCCATAAATATGAGAACCTTACTGAATAAAACAATCAAAAGGAATATCTCAAAGTATAAATAATAGCATCTGTACTTATACTTAGGAAATTTGATAGTTAATACAAGCAGTTTCTTTTACTTTTAATTGGCCACACAGGTATTCATTGATCTGACTGAATATAGTCTCGCTGTGAGTGAGGTCTAAAGGCTAAATTTGTTCTGAATGACTCAACAGGCTTTTAGGCATTGAAAGCTTTCTTACTTATGCAGATGCAAAGCATTCAAAAATCCCAGCCCATTTCAGTAAGAGGCTCCTTAACTCTTGTAAAATACTTAGCATCAGGAGCCAAGGATATAGCTTAGCAGCATAGGCACCTGCCTGCCAAGCACAAGGTTCCAAGTTCAATCCCCAATACTGGAAAAAAAAAATAGTGCATGGTTAAGAGTACAAATGATTTCATTTATTTCTTTTCTGCAAGTGTAATCTAATCCAGTTCTCTGCAACTAAAGTGCCAGTTTCTATGCTTTTGAAAATGTTAGTTGCAGATACACTATGTGTTCCTTAAGAAAAATGGAAAGATCCACCAGAAAGTTGAATTGTCACCTTCACCTTCAATAAACATTTCTTGTGAAGTTCTTATATTCTGTAAATACTACCCATGTAGGAGTGCTTTCAGGTGACACCATATCTCTTCTTTAAGTTGTTTACAACCTCTCTTAATGTATCCCACAACCCTACAGTAACTGAGCATCATTATTTCTATTTAGTATCACAAAAGCATAAATATGTATATTACAGATGTTTTAAAGTCACTGATTATTTTCATAGATGCATTTTGAGGAAAATAATATATGATATGAAAGCTTTGAATTGGGTTATTTATAAACTAACATATCTTCTATGATAACATGTTTATGATAAGCAATAAAATGAAAGTATTACACTGAGGTGTAAATGTTAAGCTTGGTTGTGTAAATCTGATTGGCTTGGGAAGGGATGCAGACTATGCTTTTTGTTGTGTGCAGATGGCTCATGAAGAGGTTACTTGGCATCAGCCATTTGGATCCTTGACCCTCCCTCTCTGGTGCTGTTCTGCTCTGTCACAATGTGTTAGCTCAGCTGGGTCTATGGACTGTGATGTTTCTTCCTTAGAATAAGCCGACCATGGGGCCAGCCAGATAGCTCAGCAGAATAAAGCGTCTGCTTAAGCAGAGCACAGCATCTGGGGTTCGATCCCCAGCATGCTATTGTGGCCCCACCCACAGGGTGCCCTGAGACAGCGACTGAGACTGGGTGTGGTGGTGCACACCTGTAATCCAGCAGTTGAAACAGGCTGAAGACAGGAGAATCACTGAGTCCGATATATGTAGTGAGACCCTATACACTCTGTACTAAATACCAAAAGAGAGAGAGAGAGAGAGAGAGAGAGAGAGAGAGAGAGAGAAGAAAAAAAAAGAATAAGCCAAATATGGGCTGGACTCCTGAAACCAGAAGCCAGATTAATCCTCGAATCCTGTGCTGTGGGTATTGGGTACTGAGTCCCGGGAATGGGAAAGCTGACTATTGTGCAGGAGCTCTATTTTAATTGTCATAGATCCATTTTGTTGTTGTTGTCTTTACCTTCCATTCCTGTTGTTTTAGCCTCATTTTTAGGTACAGCAAGCATGAGTCAGAGATAAACTTTATTTTGAGTCCTATCTTGTATCTATGCAATTCGAGGCAGGCAGCTTCAGCTCTCTGAAATTTAACTTTCTGCTCTGAAAAAACTAAAATAATATAGTAGGTCTTCTAGGTTTGTCATAATATTTGGTTAAGGCAGGCAAAATAAAAGTACATAATTCCTTTTTTTTGGTGGGGGGAGGAGGGAAGGAAAGGTTTATTTAGCTCACAATTGGTGGAGGTTTCAGTCCATACTTACCTGCTACCAAGACAACAGTAAAAGGTGGCAGGAAACAAAAAAACAGCAAGAACAAAAGAGAACAGCAGCAGCAATAGTAGCAGCAACAAAGAGCAAGTCTGTCTCCCTTACTTCGCTTTCAGGCTATCCACCCCAGGGCAAGTGTAGCGTGCACACCCATAATCCAAGCAGCATTTACATCCATGATCCCAGCACTGGATCATGAATTAAGCACAAACTCTAGAAGCCCACCCCCTAACTACATGATTCCTGGCATTTGAAATATTCTATAAGTATGAACCAAAATTAAATTTTAAAAATCGATATAATGAGACAAGCCTTGAGAATTACCTTACCCAACACAGTCTCCAGCTACATGTGATCATTTAAATATAAATTAATTGAAATTCACTTAAGTGGAAAAAATACTTTTTTCAGTCTCCCTAACCCCATTTCAAGTGATGGATAGCTTCATGTGGCTGGTCACCCCCAGCCTGAGTAGTTCTTCCATAGAAAATCTTCTGTGAAAGCATGCAATGAGGTAGTGAGGAAGGGCTGTGTGTAACTCAGTGGTAGAGTAACCCCCACAAGGCCCTGAGTCCAAGAATGGAGGAGCAGGAGAGGAGCAGGCAAAGGGAGGAGGAAGGGGAAGGGAGGGGAGAGAGTAGAGGAGAGGAAAGGCAAAGGAGTGGTAGAGAGGGGAGGGGAGAGCTAATGGAAGAGAGGGGAGGGAAGGGAAGGGAAAACAAAAGAAAACAAAGCAAAGCAGAGCAATAAGTTGGTAGGAGTTGTTGAAGAAACCGCTCCAAACACCTGCTGGAGCAGAGCCCGAGGATTTTATCAGTTAATTGTGATGCCATTCACTAGCATGGATGATAAAGCCATTGCTATGGAAACAAGTCTGTGACCTGCATAAGAACCCAGGATGGCAAAGCTATTGTAGGGGCTAACAGGCTAATGGTGGCAGACAGATTTTGGACACTGTGTTGAAGTTAATCATGCAAAGTCTTGGTCCAATCAATCCTGCAGCTGCCTGTTCAGCTGAGAAGCCACCGTGGGAACATCCAAGGTGGCCCTCATCTTCTTAAGGTGAAATGCGTCTCAATGTTCCCTTCTTTTTTTCTTCACCAAATGAAAGCAGCACTCACTACATTCCCATTTACTCCTAATGTGTCTTTGTTCACACAAACCCATTTAGCCAACTCTTCATTATAGGTGATGTATAATGTCCAGCACCCACCACACCACACACTGAGCTTATCAAGGACTGGTGCTCTCAATAAATTGTTTTATTTCATTTTTGTCTTAGTTACTTTTCTTTCATTGCTAGGATAAAATGCCCAATGCCCCTAATTTCTTTTTGTTTGTTTATTGGTTTTTTAGGACTTGGTGTACAGGTGTACAGGGTTTCACTGTGTAGATCAGACTTTTAGTGATCCTCCTTTTTACAGATTCCCAAGTGCTGGGACTATAGGAATGCGCCACCACACCCAGTCTCATTCACCATCTCAGCGCACCCCATGGTCAGGGCTGGCATTGCAGGCCTGGGGATTGAACTCCCGG